TATGACAATTGATCGAAACTTATATTAATACAAAACAATTTTAAATTTGAATATTTCCGTTTAAGTTTTAAAAGTTTATTTCTTGTAGGCATTTGTCTAAAAAACTCTCTTCATGTCTTACATAGTTGATACATTAAACTGCTATTCTATTCGTGTCATATTTGTCTTATGATATTTTTTTCATGAAGAAAATGAAAATAACGAAAGGCAGAACAGAAGGATTCATTTGATTTATTTCAAAAGAGCAGCTACAATTTTTGTTTTCATGTATTCAAAAAGTCAATTAAATTGCGGAAGCATTGTTGATAAAAATGATTGTTTCGAAAGATATGCATCAGTAGAAAATAGCAACTGATTATGAACACTTTCAGAGGTTCATGAAATCATTTTAATATCATTATTATCACCTAAAAATTCAGTTTTAAGAATAAGAAAAGATTTGCCAGAATAGCCTTGTTTGTTTTTGTGAAAATAAGACAGTTGATATGTCACGATTGTTATTAAATATAATATCTAGAGAGAGAGATTTTTTCCTCGAATTCAATCACAAAGACGATCTAGTTTCTAGATAGATTCGAATAAACTATTATCATATGCATGAAGAACAAAATACTGCTATATAAAACTGTTAGGTTAGATATAACTTAATAATTGTTCATCAATCATCCTAGAGAAAGTCCAACTTAAGTCTAGATTTCCTACCAAACAACGATTGTTTGTTTGAGTATTATCGAAAGCATCTATAAGCTGATCTATCATCATCAAATTGATTTCGTTGTACATGTTAATTCAAAGAAAACGTTACATACATCAGATATGAATAAGCGTAGATTGTTCAATTAAATTAAATAGTATCCATGTCGTCAGAAAGATTATTCAGCGTAACTAATTGTAATGTAACACGACCAGTATTCAAATAATATATGCCCTCAAAAATACATTGTCGGCTTCAATTACAACGTATCTATGATTATTGTTTAGCAACCATGGACAAAGTATCTTCATATTGTGAAAACCATCACTAATATTTCGTGAATCTAATTGAAGATTGATATTAGTGTAAACTATTTAGTTTAGATTGATGTTTGATAAATTCAAATGAATTTCTAATTATATTAATCACCAACTGAATCGGACAGATATGGAATTCATTAGATCTCGAGAAGTTATCACATTTGACATAAAAGGCAAACGAAAAGCTTCGTCGCAAGTGCATCAAACTATTTTCTTATATGTTTTTTTCACGGATCGTAGCGACAATTCGCAAGACAACTAAAGTAAACAATGATTGCATTCAGTATTAAATAGCATAGAATTCGACAAAGCCAAAGTCTACTTAAATACCATATTTTTCAACTATGAATAATGAGTCGACAAATTTATGTTACTTTTTATACCTTCAGAGAAAATTTAATGGTATAAATTGATAAATAATGTAACTCATTCAATCATTTGTAAATCCGACAGACAAATAGACGTGTAATTGTTTAAGATTTTCTCAATTTTAAAAGTTTCAGTATTTATAATTTTATTAAATTTGTCAAAATGAGAAATAGTGAAGATTGTTGAACTTATCGATTATAAATTATGTATTAGAAATCAAAGCCGGTGAAGCTACGATACTTGGATAAATTGAAGCCTATGCTAGATTCAGATATCATAGGTTCAAATATTTGTTTCTCGCTCCATCAGATTGATTGATTTATGTAATATATCAAAATTCTCATACAAACGTCAAAATTTTTCATCGTCTTTGGCGACAAATAGCAACATTTTCGTAGTCAAGTGGGCTTGAGAAAACATTGACTTTTGTATGACTAAAAGTTAGTACCTACATTGTCAATGATTTGAAACAGTTCTCGTTTGTTTGCTATAAGTGAAGAAGAAATATACGAGAAACTTGGGTTAGATGAACTAAAAGCTGCCGAAAGTTTTCTTCGACTTCAGTGATAAGAAATATTTTCAACAAAGTAACCAAACTCACAATGTAATTCTTTCATTCTGTTTTTCAGAAAAGTAAATCGAAAAGTCTTCTTTCAAGAGTCGAAATTAAATAAAAACACTGTTGCTGTGTTTATTTAAGTGCACATCTTCTGACATCAATTGCGAATTTTTCTCTAAACCATACCGGTTTTATACAGTGCAAAATGTCAGTTGAAAATAAGGAGCACTTATTGTATTTGATCGAAATGACATAACAAGATTCATCCCTCTCCTTTGTACTTTAGGTTTCTCGGTAGTGACATTATAAAGATCATTGAGCCTATTGTTCTGTCGTTTATTATCAAGTAGCATAAATTAAACTAATGATGTTCAATAAGCCATTTAAAACTAAGATAGATATCGACTGATGTATTTTTACAACTGTTCGCAATTCAACAGATACAATTTTCTATACTGATGTTTAGAGAAAAATATATGTTCTGTGTTGTAAAAGTCACAACGAGATCGTTAGAGTCACAATTATTGTCCTGGTTTCCGAATTGTTTTTGTGTATGTTCTGCAACCTAACTAGTTATGAAAAACTTAACGAAAACAAAGCATGTTTTACCGGTAGAAATTGACATTGAATCATTCTAGTATAATATTGAATGTTGCACAGAGAAATAAAAGAGACTACAACAAAGCCTCTGTTTGATTTATCTTGGCTTCTGATTTTCTTCTTTGTTTTTAATTAACCCATATAAAATTGTAGGCACGTAGTGACACCCACTCATTTTATCGAAAGACATGAGAGAGAGACCGAAAAAAAAAGAACAAAATATATGAAGCCATCTTTTTTTTTTATTTAATTCATTATTCTGCATCAACGCGATCGTTCGCCAGATTTTGTTCTTTACGTAGAAATAAACAAGACATTCAATTCAATATTTAATAAGAAATTTTTTGATTGAATTAAATATCAACTGTCCAGTAAATCAAAATATGTAAGTTAAAATGGATTTTCAATAATATAGATTTGTTTTTTCTCTCTCGTTTTTACGATAGAATTTTTAAATTATCAGTAATAAATATTTAATCAAATAATAATAATAATAAGACAAAATATAATCAAAATAGGACTTGTGCATATAATTCAAGAAATAAAATAAAAACAAAATGAAAATGAAGTAAATTTTCTATTAATTAAAAATTTAATGATTTTAATAATATTTATTTAATAGAGCTTTCGGATTCTACCGATCCATCACCAGTATTAGCATGATATTGTAATTGTGCCTATTGAACTTCAAATTTTATTTTATTTCATTTGAATTATACGTACAAGTCCTATTTGATTATATTTTGTCTTATTATTATTATTTGATTAAAAATTTGAAGTTCAATAGGCACAATTACAATATCATGCTAATACTGATGATGGGTCGGTAGAACCCGAAAGCTCTATTAAATAAATATTATTAAAATCATTAAATTTATAATTAATAGAAAATTTACTTCATTTTCATTTTGTTTTTATTTTATTTCTTGAAGTAATAAATATTGTTTCCTATCAATTACGGATTGAGTTAATTAATTTTTTTTTAATGTAGGGCTATCACATCAACTCGCGTAACTACTCAACAACCACAACTATATTACAGACCAATTAATAATACGTTTAATTTAGTAGCAAATGAAAAAGTATTTCGTGAATGGGATTATACAGACAATTTATGTTGTTGTAATGGTTCATATCATACTGTTTTAACTGATATTCGACTTTTGACACGTTATCAAGAATATATTGGTTGTGCTAATGATTCAGAATCTTCACATACTGATTCGGCTATTTTCTTACGTGATATTGATCAAATTCGTGAATGTCGTGGCGAACAACCAACATTTTTCTTTCTTCTTTGGATAACATTAATATGCGCATGGCCATGTTATATTTGTCGTCGAATTTTTTGTCCAAAACCAAAATGTCTCGAAGTTTTTGGTAGATTTGGTTCGGAATTAGTTCGACTGAAAAAAGAAGATATGTCAGCAGCTCAAGTGGATCTATCAACGGCAGTTATCAATAGCAAACTTGTCGGACGATATTAAATACATATTTTAAACTAATGTATTTCTTTTCATTTATTATGTAAAAATAATGTAATTCGATAATAATATCAATAAAATGTATGATCAATGAAAAATAATTAGATACACAAGTACGAAATAATTTTTTTTGTGGTTAAAAAAATAATAAATTCTAATTTTCGTTTGCATTAAGAAAACACAGCACGTACCGACTTTTTTTTATTAGACAAAGTATTTGTTTTGACTTATTCATACTGTAATGTGTGGTCCAATGCTTTCTTGTGCATTGACATCGGAAAAAATGATTTTAGGAAGTATTTTATGAACAAGCAAAGTAGCATTTTAAATTTTAAATTTTTGAAGTTAAAAAATATTCAAAAGAAGGTAGCTATTATTCTACTAATTAAAATATATGAACTAAAAAATTCCTCATTGCTTGGGTTGGAAAATAACACAACTTAACAGTATAATACATTTATATTTTACATATGATATAGGAACCATGCAAATTTCAAAGACAAATAAACATCGATAAAAAATATTATTCAAAAAGCATAAGCTTATAAGATCAGTTCTTTATTTTCATCTTTTTCCATTTTTTTGTAGTTTAAAAATAATTTAAAAACACTATTTTGCCTGAATTTCAACTTTACTTGAAACATATTTTTTATTTATTGGGTAAGGAAAAAACATGATATACTATCGTATAATACAAAAGTTAAAAAACATAGTTTTTAAAACAAAAGTTAATATGAATTCATATATACATACATGAAGAACTTTGAAGTGTGTTAATTGTAAAGATTAATTAATATTTTTTTAAACAGAAATCAGTATGTGTATTTTATATTTTAAATGGCAGGATCTAAATTACTTCGATGCCATCGAAATAGATGTCTACGTCGATACTTTTGAGTTTGATGGGTGTGGGTGTAGAAGAAAATAATATCCACACTCACACCCACCCTTCTTTGATAATGGAAAGTAAAAGCATGCAATTAATCAAGTCAGTTTTCTAAAAATCGACTTTATTTTGTAATTCTTCTTATTTTTTCATTTTATCTAGATCGTTTTTTGAAGATTTAGCAAATGAAATTTTGTATGAAATATTTGAATATCTTGATTTATACCATGTTTATGATGTGTTTTTTTATCTCAATCAACGATTTCAAACTTTACTTCTTAATTCAACCATTCCAATAAAAATTAACATTCCAACTGTGTTTAAATCAAATGTTGAAGGTTATTATGAAAAAATGATTATTCGAAATAAACATCGAATTAATATTATTCGTTTATCAAATCCATTTATTGTTGATATCATATTTTCACCAACTCATGTTATTTCAAAATTTATTCGTCTTGAAATACTAATACTTGATAATATTCATACAAAAAATCTTCATGAAATTTTTCTTGAATTAATGTGTTTACCTAATTTACATTCAATGGTTCTTCATCCTGCTGAATATGTTCAAAGTTCAATTGATATTTTTTCTGAAATATTTCAAACATACATATCAAATGAGAATCTATGAGGATTCATTATCCAGTTACTCTTGGCAATATGGTCATAGTACAATTGAACATCTCACCATTAATACTTGTTTTCCAGATAGTTTATTAATTGATTTATTAGTTTGTTTTCCAAACTTACGTCGTTTATCAATTAATTATCTCACTCACTCACATTTCGATGATACTAAATTACGCATTTCTCAATCATCAAAAGATTTAAAATGAGCTAAACTTAAACTGGATCTAATAACATTTAATATATTCGAAAAAATTATACAAAATTTCTTTTATTATGTTGAAATTTTACAAATTGTAACACAATATGATTCAGCATATTTAGATGCGAAACGATGGCAACATATCATAACATATCTGATGCCAAATTTACGTGTATTTGATATAATTCATGAAGGTTTTCGATCCAAAACTGATTTACCCTATTATGATTTAATCGATAAATTTAAATCGCCATTTTGGATTGAAAAAAAATGGTTCTTTACGTTTCAACACAGTTGGCGTAAAAGTTTTGATGGTGGAGTGTTTTATTCAACTGAACCATATAGGTAAATAGCCAATTTAATTAAAAATAGATTAAACATCAGCTTAGTTCTATTTGTTTTAGAAGAAAATATTTCAAATATTATTCTCAATCAAATGAAGAAATTAGTTGTTATTTCGAAAAAACAAATTTATATAAAGTTGAATATTTATATGTATATACTTTAAAAAATGATGATGATCCAGTTAATTTCTTCCCCAATGTTACTCAGTTAACCGTTGGATGCTCAATTTATCATGGTTCTGAACAAATTCTCAATCGTCTTATTCCTCTTAATAAACTTATAATATTAATATTCAAACAGGGTGTGGGTGTGGGTATTGGTGTGTGTGGGGTAAATGAACTTATGATGATTCAACCTATTGTGTTATATGACTTTAATGATGTGATCGAAGAATAAGTAAGCAATCAAAAAAATGATTCAAAATGCTTTAATACAAAAGAGATACTATAATAAGAATATCTTGTATTCTTTCTTGTTTGAATTTCATGTATCGGCTAGTAGAATTCACTGATCGATATTGATAATCTTCTTTCAAGATTGTATTTACAGTTTTGTCTTCTTGAATAATAAAGGATTAGAACAGATAAATGACGTGTTTCATAAATCAAATAAATAATATAATGATGCAAACAGCTTATGATAGTATTATGCGTTTGTCTAATATCTCAACAAAGGAAACCTCGTGATAAAGAATCTGATTATTGTATCAATAATAAGTGTGTTGGCTATTCACATACAAAAAATAATATCCATATCAGATCAAAATTTCTTTGGGTTTGAATAGAATTTTCATCGATATTCTATTCATTAAAATATGTATAATAAATGATTAAGACTTTATCATGTATGTACAATATATTGACGTATATAATATGGAATTATGAATGTTTAAACATTTTATTATTCGTTGGTTTTATTGGTTAACTTCACTACATGTAATAGAACTAATGATAATTATTTAAAATAAATTTTAATTGTAGAAAATTAAATTTATTTTAAATTTCAGCAAAATACAGTTTCTAGAATATAAAATCAGTTCTTTGCTTCAATCAATATTTTTTCAAGAATCTTCTTATTGAAATCAGATTGTGTGCTAAAAGATGAATAAGTTCGAAAAAAATACTTCTCTTTTTTTTTATATTATTTGATTCTAAAATATTTTTTTTTCAAAATTTCTTCAGTACTTCAAAAATCGAAAAACATAATCATTATATGATTTTCTTACCACATTCGATAATATTCTTTTCTTATTGATGTGACAAAAATAATGCATTTATATTCATTTTTAATGTATTCTACTGAATTCCATGTGAAACATTGTATCAGAAGATTGTATGAGTACTCTTCACAATGACATATATCATAGTTCGACTAAATTATAAAGATGTAATCCGATCAACAAATAAAAAACAAATGTATAATAGCAATCCTATATATCATAACTAGTTGCAGATATTGTATTTATGTATTTGAACAAATGTCAAAAATAAGAAAAATCAATATAAATTACAAATTGTGAAAATATAGAGAGCAGTGTAAATCGATGCATTGATGAGTGGCAGCGGCTGGAAATGATCGACACTTTTTTCAAAATTTTTGCTAGTTTCGAGGAATTTTAAAATGAAAAAATGAGAAAATAATGCTAGAGACCATAGCGATTAGATATCAGACAAGACCGTCTGTAAAACTGACCTTGGGTATCGAAAATTTTCAAGAGTCTAGTACTATCTATTTTTATGTCACAGTGGTGGCGACTTGTATTTTCAGTAGTCATTTACGGCAACAACAGAGGCGCCCCTGAGCCACTATAGCAACTGTTTCGAAGGCTTAACCGATCGGATCACACCTCTAATCATGAGTGAAAGCACAGTCAATAGAAAAGTGTTGATCCTATCATTTCTGATGTGTTAATTTATAAAACAAAGAATGTGATTTCGATTTCTGTTCATCCTAGTGAAAGAAAAACAGTACTAAACTTGAATTCAATAAATAAAGTATATTTATTAACACCAGCTATCATTTATGTAGATAAAGTATTGCTTTGACAAACTGCATATTTTTTCTACTATTTATTCTAATTCGTCTGTGTAACATTTTCATCAGGATTCTTCATTCATCTTTTGAAATGAAATCCAATAAACAATTTGTTTTCACGGCTGACGTTTTTCACATTCTTGGTGTTCATTCACTTTTTATTCTTTCTTTTCTTTCTCCGCAAATGATGTCTTGTAAAAACACGTTATTTCGGTCACTGTTAATCGAAAGAAAAAAAATATGTGAAAAAAAAAAGATTTACAATTGAATGAGATTAAAATACATGTTATGATGAAGTAAAGCGAGCCGCAGATATAGTTACCGCTTACAATAGCAACAATTATTAAACAATGAAAGCAACAAATTCTAGTTTTTATCTATAACAAACATAAGATAAGAAGAATAAATGTATGCTGACAATATTTTACATCTCCAATAAGATTAATAAGTTATGCAAAGTGTTCCTAAGAATTCTTCTAGAATAAAAATACTTATGTTTTCTTTAGTCATATGCTCTGGATGTACGATTGTTATTTATACAATCCATTAAATTGAGTACTATGTACGTTTTCCCAAATTACAATTTCTTTTGGTTAGATTAGAACTTCAAATGAAAGAATTCAATTCTCAACAAAAAAGTGCAAGAACTTGCTTCGATTTATAAATTAAAAAAAAGAAATTTACATTTATATATGACACATTTGCACAGTTATTTCCCTTCTAACATCATTCTATTGAAATTTCGTTTATAGACTTCTATTCTACACCATTTTTCTTTCGCGAAAAAGATTAAAACTAAATTGTACACTATGATGGATAGAAAACCAATACCTGTTATTAGAAATCTTGTGTATTGTCAATAATAATAAAAAAAATTAAGAATGAGGGTGTGGATAAAAGGACTTCCGTCCACAACTACATCCTATACTCAATCAACATTACAAACTTGAAAGTCTTGTATGAAATGGGGTGACAAAAAATTGTATATGTATAGCTACTCTAACGATTTTACTTTGTCGTTACATTCGTCGTATTGCACTTGTTTCAGTTCTCTGTGTAAGTCAAAAAATTTTACAATCATGATAAAGGTGGATGACTCATTGTCAATAAACATATCATGATAGAGAAAAGTAAGTTGCAACAGACATGCATTGTAGCAACACCTACTGTTCGAAAGCAAGTAGTATTAATGTGTGATAAAATTTCTGCGTCTATTTTGACATTACCTATTGAACTTGTCTATCGCATTTTGGATAATCTCAATGACCTGACAATTTTATGCTCAGTTCGTAATGTTTGTACACGACTTAATGCGATCACTGACACATATCATCGATACCAGGTAAATTCAGCTTTATCATAGAGTTAGATTTCGATCACCGTTGAAATAACATATTCAGTTTAACAAATGATTATTTTGATTATTTTACCTGTGGATTTTAGAATAGTAATAGTTCGAGACAGAATTGAAACCGGTAGGTTTTTTGCCTTTCCAGCATCGGTACCGGTCTAAACGGCCAAATTACACTGGATCGGCTGGTATACTGGCATGAGTCATTTTTCATTTTTTTGATCCTATAACATAACAGTGAAATAAAACCCCTGATGAGTAATATCTGTTTCTTATTGACTACAGCAATAACGTCAGAGTTCTGTTTCACTATTTATTTTCATAAGTTTTGTCTCCCTCTGACATCTATCTGTGGACAGAAAACTTGATACGACTACAAAAGTTTACTAACATGAATTTTCACGTAATAAAATAGTCTGATGCATATTTTCACACAGAAATTTTTTTTACATCAGTAAAAAGTATACGATTTGTGAACAAGAGCGATTCTATGACCAAGTTTTTCAAAAAAGAAAATGCAAAAACTATAAAAAAAGAAGTTGGAATCGACCGATAAAGAATCCTCTACCGGACCAGACTGGTCTTGATCGGCCGTTTACCGTTACCGATTAGAACTCTGGTTCGAGGATAATATTTTGACATTAATGGATATGAGCTAAAAGAGCAGAATCAATTACAATATTCAAGTCACTTTCAAGGATGTTATTGAGTTTCTTATTTTTTCTGGGATGTTTTAACCAACAGAAAAAAAGTTAATCTATTCTTAGAACGCATTGAACATTTTCTCATCGTAGTTTTGTTTTTCTACAATAATTGTAGACGACACTTCTTCAGATAGATTAAATTGAAGACCATAGAAAAGGTCTAGTTGAATTACATGCATTCTATACGTTTTGAACTTGAGAAATTTCAACATTCATTAAAGAAACGAAACCATCGACAGAAAATAAACATAATTTTACGAAGTTCCAAAATCTAGGACACTGTAAGAGCTGTCAGAACTTTAAGAAAACTCTGCAATCATAATTGTTATACAATCATCTAACGGCTATCAGGAGGCTCTTATAGTCAA